TCCTGCTGCCTGCAGTAAAGGCGTTTTAACAGACTTCCCTTACGCTATCAGATAAAACCTTCCCAATATTTCCCTCTGTTATGAAACTCCCTCACGGGCTTTGTCAGATATCGTGTGTATGTGCGTGTGCGTGCGCGTGTGTTTTCAAACCACAGCGGCCCAATAATATACATCATTTGCATACTCTTTAAAAAAAAAAAAAAAAAAAAAAAGGTGGGGGTTGGAGAGGAAGATTGACCTTCGCAGCTGAGGCTGCTCCGGCACGAAACCACAAACGCTGCAGGGAGGACATGAAAGGCCGTTCGAGGTGGTGGGCTGAGGAGCTGATCTGGACGAAGGAACACACGGGAGTTGGGATGCCATTGCATGCCGGTGCCAAAAACGCTTAAGTAAGCAGGTTTACAGAGATCAGATGATGGGCCAAATTCAGGGTTTGCGCAGGCAGGTGCAACGGCATCAATCTCTTGGGAATTTTACTCTGGCACCAGGCTTGAATGGGCCCCAGTGACAGCACTTACCGAGACTACAAAGGAGCGGTGTGGGAAAGCAAGCGCTGATTAAAACATACTTCCGAAAGACTAGAAAAAGGGACGGAGGAAAGTACTGGCCAAAGTGTTTGCTTAGCTCCTAGCTCTCTTCATTCAGGGCTACTCATGCAGAAAAGCTGCTCTTTCAGCCGGGTGCTGGATGCCGTCTGAGCCACAGCCCTACACATGCCCCTGTAACTGAGAGGAGAACTTGGCTCGTGTGCTTGCGAAACGCAGGGATTTTCGTGTGGGTTTTTATGGGCAGTTGGTGGCATGTGTGTGGTCCTTATAATGCACAGCTATTCCCTCCCCGCCTGCCTTCAGTGCAGGACATTTCCTTTCCACTTGGAGTCGAGGAAAACCGCCAGGCAGGTGGCTAAACGTTGGCTTTTAAACCTTAAGGGCTTGAGCCCAAACCTGCAGCCACTCTTGCATGGCTGCTTGAGCCTGGCACCCTCCCATGCGCGCCTGCCCCTTGGCCACCTGCCCTTCGCCTCTACTATCAGGGCAACAGGAGTGCTCCCTCCTCAGCGCTGCCAGCCCACCCTCCAATACTGTAACTTAAACTAGGGCATGGTGGGTTGGAGGCTGCTGCAGCCCAAGTCACGGGGCAGAAACCTCCTGGGATGGCTGCAGAGCAGACAACACTAGCGTCTTAAACCTCCGCAGCCAGATGCACCAGCGAGCTCGAGTCAGATCGAGCCTCTCTGCCCCGCTCCGTCCCTGTCACATCTCACCACAGATCTGGCTGTCCGCCTGCAGCAAAAAGCGGATTTTGCATCCCCAGGCATTACTTCCTCAGTCTCCGAGGGAGAGGGAAGCAGCATCAGTGATGAATGCACAGCGAGAGAGAGACTTATATAATTTAGGGATCACTGAATAGCTGCGAAATGAAGATGCCTTCTGACAACTCCTGCTGCGTGAGGAAGAGTGGGACCAACAGCCCAGGGATGGAGAGGCTCTGCAGCACTTCCCTGCCTCGCGCCACACACGTTTACTGGGAAAGGGATCATTTGCAATTCCCAGTACTTGCAGCCGGAGCTCAGTGCCGGGCAGTGAAATTGCAGGCTGCTTAATGTTTGCACCTGTCAGCCGAATGCATTTGTGTACGAACGCTGCTCTGCACGGATGCCCCTGGTCCTTCCTGACACTTAATACGTGTAGGAAATGGAACTTTATTTTAAACACCGGCGCTTGCTGGGGGAGAGCGTGGGCAGGCGTTACGAGACTCGGTGACTTTGGAGGCGAGCTGGGAGGTGTCACCTTGCTAACTGAGCAGCGGGAACAGATACGAATCAGCGACTGCAAATGCAGGCCCCCAGGAGCCCGACTGCTGGGGCCTGGCTGTAGGAATAAGCTCCGCTCCCTGCTCACAGCAGCACTTTTAGGTGCCAATTTTTTTCTTGTTGCAGATACTATCAGCACGGCTACAGCGTATCACCAGCCCACATGGCTCATAATCCTGTCCTCCTCCCCAGGGTTTGTGAGGCAGCTCTGCCAGCGACAACCGCAAGCCTGTGAAGCTCCTTACTTTCCTCTCATGCCACAGAACCGTGTCCAAGGCTGGCCTAAGAGCAGACCTGAGCTGCACGGGCATGTCCTTGCTCCCTTTGGGGTCTGTGATTGGGAAGAGCCACGCCTCTGGCCCTCCATCCCAGCCCTACGCCTGGGAAGCTCTGAGATCAGGGCACCGCACATACCCGGGCTCGGGGCACTTGGTGGAGATGGGACACGGGGAAGCAGAGTCACCTCCACCTGATCCCATGGGGTGAGAAGGTGGAGGAGCATTGCTGGGAGGTGGGATCCCCAACAGACCAGCCCAAGCAGCTGGTGCTTTTCCTGCTTTGCAGCTCGTTTGGAGTTATTTGTCTAACATAGGTTAACAATCTCATTTTTTAACTGCGCGGCAGATCAAAGAAGACTTTTGTCTCAATGGACTCCTGGCTGGCTGTCAAGTGCCCCAAGGCCCGGCCTCGTATCCCTGCGAGGCCCTGAATTCCTAGAAGAAAGTAAGTTTGTTCTTCCCTCCCTCCCTCCCTCTGCGCCCCCGTGCCTGGCTCTCCCCGAAACGCAGGCGCGTCAGCTTTGCCTCCCTCCTCCCAGACGTCAGCAGCGCTGCTTGGCTGCCGCAAACCGATGCACGTGCAGCAATGCCCTGCAAACGGGACGTTCCCCCGTCCCCGCTCCCCACACACACAGGCGGCGCTCCCCCAAAATCAGCCTCCTCCCCTAAGCCCACCACCCCCTGCCCCTGGAGCTTTCTGCCAACGTATGCTTTTGAGTATCAGGGATGCTGAAAGGTCCCCTTGCCACCAGCTGCTGCCGAGGTGGCGCAGGGAATATGCTCCAGCCCTCCCTCCAGCCATTCACAGGCACGGGTTTCAGAGTCCTGCCGAAGGTGTGTCTCGCTTGGTAGCACAGCAGACACCGAGGAGGAGGGAGCAAAGATTGTGCAACTGGCAGGGAAAGCAGACCCTCAGGGCTCAAAAAAGCCAGCCAAGGATACTCCCCAAGGTGAGGACTCCTCCAGTCCTCTTTTTTTGGGTGGCGCATCTACACACCCACGTGTGACTGCACACCTAAGGACAGAAGGGTAGCAGCAGCACTGGCCCAGGGTGGGGAAGCACCCAGCTATCTGTTCCTCTGCCCGGGAGAGGAGGACTTTCCTGAACACCTCCACACTGACACCGGCAGGGGATCTTGGCAGCAGGGTCTCCAGTGATCAAGCCAGGCAAAAAAAACCCCAAACAAACAGCATTTTTTAACTCCCTCTGAAGCTGACGGGGGACCCCGAGGGGAGACTCCACCGCGTTCCTTGGCAGAGAGCAAGACTGGCAGCGCCTGCCACCAGCCTGCTGAGCCCCAGAGGCTCTTGCTCCCCTGGCATAGGGCTTCCACCCTTCCAGCACCATTCCTGGCGACGGGCAGACCCCGACACCCGCCTGCCGCAGGACCGCGTGTGCCTCTCCCCGCAACAGGTACACCCCTCCTCACACCAGCCCCTTCCACGTGGGATGGCAGCTTACGTTTTCCTCCCTTAAAGGAATCAAACTTAACGTTTGATCTAGCCCACGTTCCTAAAATACAGCCAGACCTACCCACCCTTTTCCCATTTCAAGGGGGACTCCACGGCTCCACCCTGCTCCTCCACGCTCCCCCCACACCTTCCCTTCGAGGGCTGGAGGCATTTCCACCCCCAGGGCTGGTTGTGTACCGGCGCTGGAAACAGCACAGGAACCACTGTCATTCTCTCCTGCTGCTGCGCATCAGCTGATGGTGAGAGGGAGGCAGCTCCTTCCATGAGCTCACCCCAGACATGTCATCCATCCCGGCTTCCACTGCTTTGTCCTTGTCACAGCCTCATGCTAGGAAGACTTGGGAAGAGCCCCGGAGCCTTGCACCATGAAGATGTGATGGGGAGCAGGGCCGAGGTTATAAGCAAGCGCCCGGCCGCACCCCATTCCTCGGGAATTCCAGAAAGCCTTTCCAGTGGGGCTTCACCCCAGCACAACCACGCCGGGCTCAGCCCATCTCTGTAAATGTTGCAAGGCAACTATTACAGCCCGCGGGGCAAATGCAAATCGGTTTAGCATCCTCGCTTCCCAACT